GCGGAATTTTTGCATGTTTGCTATTTTCTTTGTATTCCTTGTACAAGAATTTCTTACAGTTCCTAATTACGAACTATTGATCGTTGTTTCGTAAGAATATATAATGGGGCATTCGTTTACAGTGTAAGAATTTTCATTCCTGGTTTCAGTTTCTAGCGCCTACGTGAATGATGAAGGCACGCTAAATGGAAAGAAGCAGCAAACGTTTTGAAAGAAAACTGTCTAAAACTGCCGTAGGAGGGTGTTCCGAAAACGTAAACGCGGAGTACGGAGTGCGGAGTGCGAAGTGTGAAAAAAAATCAATCAATCAATCAATCAAAAAACAAAAATTAAAAAAAAAAAAATAGAAATCAAAAAAAAATTAAAAAAGAATTAAAAGAATAACTAAATACATAAATAAACTAGACATAGAAATTTAAGAAATCAAAATAGTAATTGTTAAAAAATTCACACCGCCTGAAGCGGACTGTTCATATCGCGTATATTTCATTTAGTCCAAATGGTATGTTCAACTTACGATTTTCATAGTTTGCAGTTCACTTTTAGGAAAAAAAAGAAGTAAGAACAGTCCAGTTTTGACAATGTCTAGAAAAATGTGAGAAATTGCACCTTCGGTTCCCTTGGAAAGCCGTGTTGCCTCGAAACAAACTCAAGCTTTGCTTTCCAAAAATGAACTGCCCGTGTGAATTAACCCTTCAACCATTCAATAACTTGTCAACTGCGCGTCCTAAAGGCTAGTTCTCGCAATTTGATTGATGAAGTTCAAACTAAAACCTTGCAGAATTTTCAGCGTTGAAAAATAGTAAGATAAAAACATGTAGATTGACAAATAAAGAAACAAATAAATACACAGGTAAAGTTTCACTTTGAGAAAACAAATTATCAAAATAACATATTTTCCCAAAAAAGCCATTTACTACGATTATCTGTTGAGTAATTTGGTCACCAACTTTTAACGTAAAAATCGTGTTGTTGTCACGAGCAACTGGCTCCGTATCCATTGACAACTTGTCGGCCTTTGACGTCATTGGCAGCAGAGCGCGCGAAATTGTAGGCGACGCGACAGACGACGCATGGCTGTTGATATTGTTACCAACGGAAACGAGGTAAGTTGGCCGTGACAACACCATAATTTTAAGACCAAAACTTCGTAACCATACTTCCCTCCTGCCTTACTCAACTAATAATCGTAGTAGCTGCACAGCGCCGCTTGTCTCACCAATTCCACGTGCAACTGCTGCCTTGTGTTTTTTCGGTTGAAATTTAATATCTTCTCCGGTAGAAAATTACTGATTTTAATTTGGAAATAAAGTGAGGTTGGTACACACTTCTTAAAGACTTTTAACTCAAAACAAAGGAAAAATATCCTAAAAGATGCTATTCACGCCCTGAAAATGATTTGGGTCTGAAAATAATTGAAACATGGGGAACTTAGAATAAGTTAAGCCTCTTCCAGACGTTCAGTTAGTTGGGGCACAGCGCGAAAAACAGCGAGGGAAAAAATAGAGGACAAGCGCGGCGAGAGAGAGCGCTTTTCGCCTATGTTTTCGCTCGCCGTTTTTTTCGCCGTGCCCCAACTAACTGAACGCCTGGAAGAGGCTAATTTAATATTCCTAAACGTGAACGTGAGTTGAATATACCATTTGGACTGAACGAAATATACGCGATCTGAACAGTCCACTTCAGGCAGTGTGAATTTTTTAATAATCATTATTTTTAGTTCTTAACCTTCTATTTCAAGTTAATTTATGTATTTAATTACTCTTTTAATTTTTTTTTCTTTTTTTTTTTGTTTTAATTTTTGTTTTTCAATTTTTGTTTTGTTTTTTGTGTGTGTGTATTTTTTTTCTTTTTTTTT